AACCCAAATAGCTGGCATGCTATGCAGGACTCTTCTTTTTTTTTTTTGTTTTCCCAGACAGGATCTCACTAGGTTGTAGTCCTGGCTGTCCTGGATCTCACTCTGTAGACAAGGCTGGCCTCAAACTCAGAGATCCACCTGCCTTTGCCTCAAAGGTGCTGGGATTAGACATGTGCAGCCACCACCCAGCTAAGGGTTTCTTCTCTTTCAGATCATTTTAGGGGGAAGACCCACCCTAAACCTGGGCCACACCTTTTGGTGGCAGCCCACATAAAAGCAAAAGGTCTGCTTGCCCTCACGCTCACTGGCCAGTCACTGTCCTGCTGCTGAGGCATCCCTTCACTAGTGTGAGAACCTGCTTCTTCATGATTCCTATGTACACTGAAGACCACACTGAAGTTGCAGCTCCCTAGCAACTACCAGGGACTCCAGCACCAGACTGGGACTCGTGGGCCATCCAGTCTCCTAGATTGAACAGCTGTCAGCTTCTTGGCCTTTCCATAAGGAGACATCCATTGTTGGACTAACAGAGCACAGCCTATGAGCCACTCTATTAAATCATCCCCATTTAAAATGTTTACCAATATATGCACATATGTGTAATTCTATTATTTCTGTTCCTTTAAAGAACTCTGATGAGGGGCTGGAGAGATGGCTCAGCAGTTAAGAGCACTGTCTGCTCTTCTAGAGATCCTGAATTCAATTCCCAACAACCACATGGTGGCTCATCCCATCATAATGGGATCTGATTCTCTCTTCTGTCATTCAGGCATACATGCAAATAAGAGTGTTCACATGTATAAATAAATAAATCTTAAAAAAAAAAAAAAAGAGTTCTGACTAATACACACAGAAATATTGATCGGGAAATGCAGCTCCAGACGATGTGTTCTGTACTTCTTCAACTAGCACTGGCCGTCAACACTGTTTTTGTTTTGTTTTGCTTACTTTTAAAATGAAAGTTGAGCTCTAACTGGATCATGCTGCCTTCCCTGAAGGCATCTGGCCATGATCTTGAGCCCCTTGTGACTCTTCCTACCCTACTGTGGTCCTACTTAAATAATTGTATACGGTGACATGTACTTATCTTTCACAGGTCCTAACTGTTCCGACTGCCTACGATGGTGACATACAAAAACGTACTTTTTCTCTGATGTATGTGTTTGTGTGAGAGAGGGCTGGTGGTTGGGTGTTGGTCCTTGCCTTCGACTTGGGGCAGTCTCACTGCCTGTGTAGGCCGGGCGAGCTAACCTGTAAGCTTCCAGGGATCCCTGTCTCCACCTCCCATCCTACCACAGGAGCACAGGGACTCCAGTCCTCATACTTGCGCAAGCACTGTAGCCTCTGAGCCAACTCTCCAGCCTCAAGAAAATATACTCTTAACTTTTGTTTTTCATATTAAAAAAAAAACAAACAAACAAAGGAAAAAAAAACATGAAACCCCAAAAAACATTACTTGCTGCACTAGCCAGCTCAGGACTTAAAGGGGGGCAAAAGCATTCCATTCAGTGAAGCCTTCCACTAACTAACAAGAAAAGAAAAAGAAGGCATGCAGTGTGCCTGTACTGACTTCATTAGAACTTCAGCGTGAGTGAATATCTGTAAAAGTACACCTAAATTCAAGAATCTCCCTGTATGTTCCATAATGTTACTTAAAATAGCAAGGTCTAGGGATGCAGACATGGTTAGAGCACTTCCAGTTCCAGAGGGATGGAATCTGGTTCCCAGCACTCAAGTCAGACAACTCACAACTGCCTTTAACTCCAGCTCCAGAAAATCTACGTCTTCTAGCCTCTATCAGTCACTGGTACATATATGCGCACACTCACATACACATAAGTAAAAATAAAACTTTAAAAGGAATAGTGCAGTCTAGAAACACAGAACAATAGAAAGGCCTACTACTACCCGAGAGTCCTTTAGGTATGTTGGCTGGGAGGAAAGATCACTAAGATAAGTAGACAAATGCATACAAATTTATGAAGGATTAGACTTGATTGTTACTTTTGAAAAAAGACCTGGAAGTAAGTTCAAGGACGATGAAGACTACTTATAATACTTCCCTTGTAAAGTTTCAGTTTATTTCCATGGACAATCTTTTGTTTTACAATACTTTAGGAAAGCCTGGATTGAAATTTATAGATAAGCATAAAGGAAGAAATGTTTACTAAGATTAATGCCAGGAATTATGAGCCTCACAAAAATGCCATGAAGTGAGGGGTAGTTTCCAAATGAGTATAATTTGTTCCAGATCAGAGATTGAAAAATGCAAACCCTCCCCCCCCCCCTTTTTGGTGCTGGGGATTGAACCAGGGCCTTGCCTATGCCAAGCATGTGCTCTAACCCTGAGCTACATCCCCACGCCCAGCATTGCTTTCTATTCTTTTCCAGAACTTACCAATCCAATTCAATATGATGTGTGTGTGTGTGTGTGTGTGTGTGTGTGTGTGTATGTTATGGGTGTTAAGATAATTAAGAAAAAACTAAAGGCAAAGACTTCATCCATAGCATTTGAAACCTTTTAAGTACAAAATAATAAAAAGTAATGTCTAAACTTTCTGCAGCAATGGTTTCTGCATGACTCTACTTGCCATGCAGCATTAAGTTTGACTATCTGTAAATCCATCAGTCCTGAGGAGAAAGGTGTTGGTTTACATCGTGGTTTTGGTTTTTGTTTGTTTTTCATTTACCTCCCTCCATATGCATGAAAGACAACAGATTCCTTTCCTGTACTAACACAGCCAGTGATTGTCTCCAACATTCCAGAGTTGACCATTTTATACATAAGTAAGCGTGTCTTAGGATCAACTGCTTTTTCCTGTAAGAGATAAAGTACTATAAGTGAAAATGATCATCACAAAAGATTCTTTTTTTTTTTTTTTACAGGGTATAAGCAGGCTCTTAAAAGAATGTGATCAGGATACAGTTTCTTCCTCAGGGGCCCCTGGATTTCAGCTCCAGTATCATGAAGCTAAAGAGATGGGTTTGGTGACAGTCCCAAGTCTGGACCATAGCTACAGTCACTGTTTCTGTGGCAGACAACCTCAAGGGTCAGAGCTTCTTCAGACCCAAAGGGACTTCAAGTGCTAACAGCAGAGCTATAGTAACGCATGTCCCAAGGTCAGGAGAGCCAATGAAGGACACTCACCAAGATGGGAGGGCATGGAACAGGTGAGGTAGAGTGTGTCTGAGTGTGGACACAGGCAAAGATTATGTGCAAGTGACGCAGGCCCAATTCACTCCGTGGCCAGGCCCAGTCGTAACCTGTTCTGGATGTGTCTGAAGATGAACACTATTGGCTGTGCCTTCTCCAACCTGGCCTCGGGGAAGTCAGCTCCTTCTCCAGTGCCCCATGGACTTCTGTAGGCAGTGGGAGGTGCTCTGTTGTACCAGGAGAACCAGCCTCCCAAAGATACTGTTCTCCAAGAGCGTCACCTCCCTTCTCATAACACTGCTGTCTGCCTAGCTCTGCCCTTCCCCCCCCCCCCCCCCCCCCGCTTTGTGGAAGGTGATGTGGGTCTGAACAGCAGACTCTTCAAGGAAAGCCAAACCTTGAGTCCAACACCATACATTCATCCTCACCCACTCTTCCCCCTTCTCCCACGTAGGACACTAAAGTAGATAAGGTACAGAGACAGCGATGGGTCCTGGATGGCTCCGTGATTTCAGCAATGTTTGACATTAAACTTAGAGACCACAAGGTACAGACTTCAGGACTCCTGTCCATTGGAATGTTCCCCCTGACCTCTGGTAACCCCCAATTTTGTCCCAAGATAAACAAATAGCCCCAGAGAAAATTAAATGGGCAGCATCACCACAGTTCCCCTCCAGAGACAGAACACAAGAAGGGACTAGAGGCATGAGGGGTCACATGACCTGCTGTCACCTTCCTATGCAGCAATGTGCTCCTCCCCCAGCCCCCACACTACTGCCAGGACTGTAGTCTGGGTATAAACCAAGATTACAGAAAACATGGATTTAGGGCAGTGAACACAGGTGTTCAGTGGTACAACTGGGATGCCAGGCAAGTGTGTACAAATAGTAAATCTCTAGATTTAATGTATACATAAGTCTTCCCCCTTCCCTAACCTCTGACCTTTCTAGATTCCTTTATAGCATCTTTTCTACCTAGCTAGGTACCCTCCAATGGGGACCCAGGTCTCTTTCCTATCGTTTATGAAGGCAGAATTCAAACAACACCTCCAGGGATATTTTGAGGCTGTTTAAGACAATTTCTCCCTGAGTCAGTACCAAACATATGACATCTTGCCCTGTGTACCCTATATGGTTCCCTACCTCCTGAACCTTGAAAGAGGGCTCTTTGGCTATAACTTCCACATTCTCCCTTGAAAAAAATAAATGGGGAGTTAAAACAAATCAAAATCCAAAAACTGCCTTAATCAAAATCTTATTTTACCAACTAAGTTTAAAAAACTCTCTTGGTGGTCTTACAGTTTTTTAAAAAATATTATTTTTATTAATGTGTATATGTGCATGTGCTAAGGCACCCTCTGGAGCTGGAGTTGCAAGCAGTTGTAAGGTGTCTGATGTGGGTGCTGGTAATCGAACTCAGAGCCTCTGCAAGAACAATAATACATGTTCTTACATTACACTGAGCCATCCCTCCAGCTCTTACAGGTTTTTCTGAGGGTTTGGTAAATTCAGTTATTGTCAGAATAGTACATACTAGCTTCATTAATATAAATGAGTAGTGTTTGAAAGAGTCCAGTCATTTTGTTATTTTCAAAATAGATATTTATCTTTGTTAATGTAAAACATTAGAAACTTTTAAGTTAAGTAGTTATAAATGTCAATGTAATAGGAATAACCTATTTAAAAAAATCTGGAACATCTGGGCTGGAAATGCCCTACCAGTTAAGAGCACTGGCTGCTCTTCCAGAGGACCTGAGTTCATTTCCCAGCACCCACAGGTGAGTTTGCAATTGTCTATAATTACAGTCCCAGGAGCTCCAAGGCTACCAGGCACTCATATAGTACACAGACACACACAAGAGACAAAATCCCCATACACATAAAATAAAGTACATCTTTAAACATCTGGAATATTCAACTAAATGTACAGTATATACTCTAAACTATTGTTTCTAAAAAATAACTTTTTAGGGAAAAAAAACCCTTTATTCTAATTAATTCAGAAATACAATCACTCAGATGGCTTAAGGTAGTCATATAACCATTTGCTCAGCCACAAATTCTCTGTCATCTCAGTGAACTTCTATATATAGACATGGCATTCTGAAGCAATAAGATTATTACTAAAAAAAACAAAAAACAAAAAACATAGGGGAACTTAGAAGCACCCACTGTTAGTCCTAGCACTTGGGAAGCAGAGGCAGGAAGATCCCCGAGTTCAAGGCCAGCCTGGTCTACAAATCAAGTTGCAGGAGACCCAGGGTTTAAATCAGTTTAGATATTATACTTCATAAACAATTTTCAAATATCTCTTCAACTGCATTAGCCTAGAGAGCAATTAATGTAACTGTAATTTGTTTTTTTGGGTTTTTTTTTGTTGTTGTTGTTTTAAATAAGATCTCACTAGTCTGGGCAAGCCAGGAAATCACTGTGAAGCTCGGGCTAGCCTCAAACTCATGGCAACAGTTCTGCATTAGCCTCCAACTCCAAAGTGCTGGGATGATAGGCATGGGCCACCTCAGCTCAGTTTGAACGCCTTGAGCAGACCAGTCCTGGCAGGCCTGAACTGTTTCTCCCCTTCACTAAAACACCCTCAGGGGTGACCTCACTCAGACAGGCTCTGGACATACTGAAACTTGCTGAATCTCAAGTCAAGGGCCACCAAGGGTTCTTGCTAAGCCACTTAGGTTCCTCAGGAGCCGCAGTAGGTGACATCAGGGTTTGAAGGCTCCACTGAAGCCCCTGGTGACAGCCCGGCGGGTGTATGGTAACAGTGCAGCCTGCAGCCACACCACCAGTTCCATGCCAGGACATCTGGCTCCTGGAGTAAACAGCAGATGAGCCAACTAGAGATGGTGGTCACTGCTGGAGGCTGAGCTATGGGTGCTGTCTGGGGCACTTTCATGTGAGGGGCCACACAAGAAGAATAGCTTCACTTTCTATGCCAAATCCTTCGGGCCTAGCAGCACTGCTTCTAGAAATTGAAAACTCCTAACATGGGTTTTGAACAACTGATTAAGTGTTATGCTAAATAAATAAATAAATAAATAAACACACAAACAAAGGCCAAAATGCAAAGTCACTTGAGCAGCACTGATTTTGAAAGCCAATTTCAGGTGAAGGGGGGAGTAATCATGAGGTTCCCCTCAAACATGACGTTTCTAATGTGCATTTTCCACCAGAGCGGGGCGGGGGTGGGGGGGGAATGCTTACAGCGGTAGAGTGCTCCTTCTTCTCATGCAGACGGGCACTTCGGCGCTCTTCTGAGTATGCATGTTGTTTTAAAGCATTGAAAACGTGGTTGGAGAGTTTTAAATCCATTCCAATTCCATCCCCTACCTGAAAGCCTGGTGCAAACGGAGACAAGAAAAAAAAAAAAGAGCAGTTGAAGTTTTCATATGGGGACAATGTTGAGAACAACAGTGAGAAGTTAGTCTTGTAACAGATGACCTCATGCAGAACCCACAGGCACCACAGGGGCAGAGCGGCCTGACACAGAGGAGCAACACCAAAGAAAGGCATATTGTACGCAGAGAACGCACCTCACCATTCATTCATATGGGTGAATGAATGGCTCTCAGCATTCGCTTTGCACCTTATTTTTATGCCAAAGAACACACTGTTGTATTAAAAGCCTACACCAAACCTTACCGGAGAAACAGAACGTCATAATTACTGCAGTAGACTAGGTCGCTACAGTAAATTACACCAGCCACCTCCACTGCAGGCACAGGGTGGCACAGCCCACTCTGAGCAGCTGCTGGCCGCCCTGTGGATATTTAAATTTAAATTCTTTATCAAGTGCTTACTAGCAGATACAGCCACAGGTCGGAAGGCAGGGTTAGGTGATCTGCCCTCATCCCTAGGCTCTGCAAAGCATTGCCCCAGAGCCACACAGAGCACTTCCAGTCAGAGCACAGCACAACCACTCAATGAGGTATTTACTAGACACACGTTTGTGTGCTAATCTCTCTCTCTCTCTATTTTTTTCTTTTCCTGAGGCACGGTTTCTCTGTAGCCCTGGCTGTCCTGCACTCACTCTGTAGACCAGGCTGGCCTCGAACTCACAGCGATCCACCTGCCTCTGCCTCCCGAGTGCTGGATTACAGGCCTGCACTACCACCGCCTGGCAAGGTCTGCATTCTTACTAAGCACAGTACTTATGAAAGAAAATACTTAAAAAAAAAAAAGATTTCTTTATTTGGGCCTGAAGAAATAGCTCCCAGTTAAGAACACTTGTTCTTCCAGAGAACGTGAGTCAGTTCTTATCGCCCACGTCAACAGGTTCACAGTAACCTTTAACTCCAGTGCCAGAGGAGCCAATAACCTCTTCTGGCCTCCACAAGCACCTGAACATCTATCTGACTGTCTCTCTGCCTCTCTCACATGCACACACACGCACAAATTAAGGAAAAAAAATGAACAAGTATATGTGTGAGTGTTTTGCCTATATGTGCCCCATGTGTGTGCCTGGTACCCATGAAAACTAAAAAGAACATCAGATTATCTGGAACTAGAATTAGGGTGGTTATGAGCCACCATACGAGTGCTGGGGAACAAATTCAAGTCCTTTGCAGGAGTAGCAAGTACTCTTAACTGTTGAACTATCTCTCCAAAATTGTTTAGTTTTAAGATTCATTTAGTTTAGTTTTAAGATTCTTAACAGTGTGTGGGTATGCATGCAAATCAGATCTCCAGGAACTAGAGTTTATGAGTGGTTGTGAGCCATCTGATGTGGGTGCTGAAAATCAAACTTCAGGTCCTCTGGAAAAACAAGTGTTCTGTGCTCTTAACCACTGAGCCATCTCTGTAGTCCTTGAGAATTTTTTTTTTAATGACATCTTAATTTTACTTTTACAGAGCTAGTTCAGGCATAAAACTTGGCTTGCTCCACACGCACAAGACATTGAAGTTGAGCACCAGCTCTACAAGGGCAAAATGTCTACAAGTGTAATCACTTCCTCCTTCTAGTTCTTGGCCCATCACCAATGCTGTGCCCTGCAGAAATGCTATTTAGTAAAAAATAAATAAAATAATGTACTAAGGACTAAAAATTCACTTTCTTTTTTAAAGACAGGGTCTAATGTATGCAGGCTAGCCTTGAAATCATACGAAACCAAAGATGGCCTTTAATTTCTGGGCCTCCTTCCTCTACCTCCCAAGTGCTATACTGCCACGCAGGCTCAGCTTTATTTGTTTTTGTTTGTGTGTTTTGTTTCTTAGAGCCAGGGCTTTTCTGTATAAACGTGGCTACCCTGGAATTCAGGAATTCATTCTGTAGATCATGATGGCCTCAAATTCAGAGACCAGCCTGCCTCTGCCTCCCGAGTGCTGGGATTAAAAGTGTGTGCCACCATTGCCTGGCTGCTCAACTTTATTTTTTAATTTTAGAGTCTTGTAAATCAAATTGGTTTTAAAACTATCCTCATAGGGTTTTATTCTAGGTCCTTTATACTCTTAGTGGCTGAGGCTTTGGTAGTCAGGTTGTCATCTAAAGCACCTCTGTAGCCTGTGAGGAGTGCAGCCAGCACAGAGGTGGCAGAGGAGGATTCATGAGTTTGAGGCCAACCTTAACAATGAAATGAGACCATAGGAAATAAATAAAAGAAAGTCCTAGAAATTTACTGTACTGTTTCCAGAATGTTGTTGGCTTGTTTGTTTCTGTGTTTTAAGAAAGGGTCTGAGTGTGTATTCCTGGCTGGCCTGTAATTCATGATGTAAATCACATGTGTGTGCCTCCCACGTACTAGGATTGAAGTTATGCTCACAATACCTGGACTAGAATGCTGTTTTAAAAATATATTTAAACTCTTGATTGAGAGAGAATACTTTCTACAACTTACATTTTCCATTCTTGCTGTGTTCTTTCTTCCACATACTACTTCATCATGCTTAGTGGTGATGTCTTTTCCTTTTCCAATAAAACCCTTTTTGGGAGTAGGAACTGGCTTTGCTAAAGGCAATTAAGAAAAGCCAAGAATATAAAAAGAGCAAAGAGTAAAGTCTTGCTTTTAGCACTACCTGAAGAGACCCTTGAATGTAAAATGGGTGAATTATCAGATGAGATTCAAACATAAACACAAATCTAAGCAAGCCCACTGGAGAAATTAGTCTTCGACCCTTCTCAATGTACCCCCAAAACAGAAGGTACCTGGTCTGTAGGGATCGTCACGAGTGTCCTGCCAGTCCACCTCATCTTCAGAGCTGTCACTGTCTTCAAAAGGATGTACTTTTCGATAGTTTTCAAAGGAAATGGAAACTTAAAAGGTAAAAATGGTTGACAGTTTTATTTAGGACAGTGCACAAGCATTTCCTACCTCCCAATGGGAATATCACAATAAGGTCACAGTACCTTTGCTATCCCCATTGAACTTTTTTTCTTCACGCCTAAGCTGAGCATCATATTCTCTGTCAAATTCCATCTGTAGCATCTGAGCCAGCATTAGGTCGCTGGAAGTGTCAATGTTTTCTCCAGAAATAAATGGTCCTTCGGCAACACTATTCAAAATAAGGTGACATAAGCTGATCTGATGTGCTGTGCAAACAGCTACTGACTTTGAGAGTAGAAAGTGTCTTTCAATGCTAAAATCACACCGAAGAAAGGACAAGAGTATACCAAAGCATTTACCATCTCCTGTTCAGCCAGCTTTAGACCCACGGCCAACTCTGAGAAAGCCACAGCTAGAACTGAGAGAGCTGGGAGAGGGACCAAAGGGGTCTGTCAGGAAATCCATACGGAGACCCAGAATGTCTTTCATCTGTGTTCTAACCAAAATATAGAGAAAACTAATAAGAAAACTATACCTAAATAGTTCAACTGTTGCATTAACAGGAACAAAACTCAGAGAAACTGTGGTTTGTCAAAGATAATACAAACTCAGAATCTCCCATCTGAATTGCTTAAGACCAAAAGAACTTAACAGTTTTGAAGTTTTCAGACTTGATATGATTTACATAGAGCAGCTAAGTATCCCTGATCTGAAAAATTATAATCTGAAATACTCTAAAATCTGAAATTGTCGGTGTGTTATTTGAATGTCCAAACTTTAGGGGCTAGTCAGTCGGTACTGAGAATCAGGAATGTACGCGGTACCAGCTCTTCCTTCTGCACAGCTCTCTGAGCACACTCTTACTCATTTGTAATGACAGTCCCCAGTCAGACTCTAAAGCTTTGTTACAGCAAGTGCCGTGAACGCCACGTACACAACTTCAGGGAAAGCAGCTGCTTCTTCTTTCAACTGCAGCTCTTTGGCCAACTCTTCGCTCATCACCTCGGTCAGTGAGCAGGACGCTGTGTTTGGAGGGGTAGCCCACGGGCACTATTTAAACAAAAGAGAAGAAGCTTTATAACAATAATGAAATAACACGAAAATGAGGTTATCTTTTGAGAATTAAACTAGTTAAAACTATCAAAATGAGTGATTAGCTCTTCACAAAATTCACCTTAAAGGAAGTATCTCTCAGCATAAATCTTAGTTTTTAAATTACATTTTCACTTATTTACTTTTGTGTGCAAGTACCACAACACAAATAAGGTCAAAGAACAACTCATGGGCGGTGAGTCTCTCCCTCTAGCACCCCCAGTGCTAGACAGTTTACCTTCTGTTGGGTGGCTCTCAAGGTTGAAAAAGTGCCATGCTACTATACAGCACACCCAGCAGACAGGGAGTTCAATTAACTCCCTTTGTTCCAACTCATTTCTCACCAAACACCTCTCTGCTTGTGAATTACTTTCCTTAGTATATTTTCTTACGGGACTAGACTACATCAAGAGCCCTACGGTTCACGCCCGTCATTCCAGTGCTCAGGAGGCCGAAGGAAGAGGCTGAAAAGTCAGCACTGTAGGGTTGAAGTAAGCCTGAGCCACAAGCAAGGCTGTCTCAGAAGAGAAAAATAAAACAATTCAAATCCCACTCAGAAATTATGCCAAATTCCAATCTAAGCATAACGACATGGCTCATTACAAAGAGTATCAATCCTCTTTAAGGTGTTTGAGTATATGCTAAAACAGAACCAAGAACAAGCCACAAAATATGCATTTCTAAATGTCAGGATCTGAGAATCAGACTTGACAAAGAATGATTACAAAAGAGTAATGCTCCTTGACATTCTTTTCAGCATTAGCCTCCCCCAATGACACCACTGTCTCAGCTTTCTTAAAACAGATTCTAGGTTTATTTCATACTTTCCTAAAACAGCTAACTCATCATTTACTCCTTGCCCTGATTCCATTTTCCACAAAATTGTTTTTACCAAAATGTAGATTTTATTAGTTATATTCCCTTAAACTTTCTGTTGCTTTCACTGCCTTGGTACAAAGTCTGAGTGTCTAGCAGAGAATTAACAAACAGTGACATCTATATTATCCACAAAACTATTTAGCTAAGGTAAGACAGCGAGGGTACCCAAGACTGAGACTACTGGGTAGGAGAACCACCCTTGTTCAGGTTCCAGAGCACTGTGGAGCAGGTCAGGACGGACTTGGGTAGACTGGTGGGAGTGGAGCCTGAGGCTGATCAACAATGACAGCTATTCATGTCCGAGGGAACCAGAGCAAGCTCTGTCTGGACTCAGCTTGAGACAGAGGAGGTCCACAAGGCCCCTTGCACACACCTCCACTAGCCACTGTGGGCTGGCCATCCTCACAGAGGCCCCACCTAGAAAGAACAGAGAGACACTTCCTGAAGGGTGACTGAAGCTCTCTGTAATGTGAAGAACATGGCTTCGTTTGGCCCTTTCTGCTCTTTAACCTAGAAATGCTTGGTCTGGGAGCTAGAGAGACGGCTCAGCAGTTAAGAGCACTGGCTTCTCTTCCAGAGGACCCCATACCCACATGAAAGATCACAGTTATCTATAATTCCATTTCTAGGGGATTCAACACCCTCATACAGACATACATGCAGGCAAAACCATCAATGCATGTGAAGTAAAAATAAATTATTTGAAAGAAATTCCTGGTGTGATCACTTCCAAAGTCCAAGCTCCAAAAGTAGATGACTGTATTCTCCCAGTCACGATTCTCACCACTACTGACAAGGACTAAGTAAGCAGTATAACCGTCTCCTGCCCCTTTTCTTCTGAAGTGGTGGAGACTGAATCCAAGGCCTCACAGGCCAGGCAATTACTCCATCATGAGCTACATTCCCAACCCAACAGATAACACTTCAGTTTTTCCTATATTTTAGTCATTTAGCTAACTAAGTATACAAAATGTACCCAGGCTATTTACAGCATTTCATGACTGAGTAGCTATATTTTATTTATTTATTGGTTGGTTGGTCTTGTCAGATCCCAAAGAAACCCAGAAAGTCCCACTCAGTACCTGTGGCTCCTCCCACACCCCTCACCCCACCCTATGCTAAAGGTCTTTAGCCTAATGGCTGGACTTCCCTTCCCCCAGCTTCTGGCTCCAATAACCAAGCCATTTTGGCCATGCACTCTCTTGGTCTCGTGATCTGTGGCTCCTCTCTTGGCCCACCTGCCTATTTCTCTTCTTCCCCCACCCGTAGCCCGGTTCAGTCAGAATCCTTCCAGATGCTTCTGGCTGTACTTTCCCTCATATCTATAATAAAACCTTTCTCCTCAGGGATCCCTTGAAGCAGTCATGTCCTCGCTTTCATTCAGGTCTCTCTATCCTGAAACTTAGCTCTGCCTCTCAAGTACTGGGATTAAAGACGCTACGCCTGGCATATCATCCACATTTCAAAGGCTCAGAAAAGGAGACAAAGGAAAGCTCCGATAGGCAGAACCATCACTAAGGTTTACAGTCAGGACATGAGCACCTTGAGGGGGCGCACTCTCATCCTCAGGACTTAGCACACAGCTTCAGGCGCAGAAAAATTCAAGTAATTAGTGAATGATACATGCCACAGAAACACTGCAAAGATAAGCAAATGTAGTTAGAAGCAGCAGGGATGTGGTGCTTTTCAGCATCTCAAATTGATCTCAAATCCCTTCCTCCATCTTGCCTGCCTATTTCTGAGGCTCATGGTTTACTGTCACCACCAGATTTCAAGAGACATTAAACATAAAGTATTAACTGACAAACTTCTCAGAAGAACCAACAATGTCAGACAGTAATTTTGTTACTTTGAGGTGGCTATTTCTCTAGTCCCAAAAGATAAATGCAAAAACACAGAGCACAGATATGACCAGCACACAGGAACTGCCCACTCACAATGACCATGTCCTTTGGAACCTCATATGCTACAGCTATACTTCCTTTATCTCTGCCAACCAGTTCAACTGGGCCACCTCACACTGAGGCAACTTCCTCAGGTTAGGTAAGTCAGTCAGACTTTCAGACTCCTGCAGTTTAAAACCAAACTGAAACATTTAAAAGTAGATAGTAAAAGCCTTCTACAAGTCTCCTGGGCTCTGTGAGGGACAGCTTTGGGGAAGGGAACACTCCATAGCTCATCCTGCCGAAATGAACTCAGGAAATGTACTGGAGGCTTCCTTTATGAACATGAACTAGAACCAGGATTATAGAGTCTGCTGTCAACCTCTTTTGACTCTACAGTATATCAAACGTTTTACCGAGTAGTTAAGAGGCGGTAGGCCAGTGAGATGGCTCAACTGATAGACACCAGCAGAGTAAGCATGACAACTTAAAGTTCAACCCTCAGAACCCATGCAGGGCTGGAAGGAGAGAACCATCTCCACAAAGTTGTCTTCTGATCCCACATGCAAACCAGAGCAATGTGCACTGCCCCAACACCCACATCACACATCCGCACAGTAACAATAAACTTTTAAAAGTTTAAAGCAGCAGTATACCTAAAGCAGTGGGAAAACTCGGCCTCCTAGCCCATCAGTGATTCTTACAGTTCTGTTCCTCCATACATAAGATGGAGCTCGTCTGAGAAACAGAACACAACCCTTTCTGAGTGCATCTGAGGTCAATTGTGGCTGTCAACGTAATCATTCAAGAAACGCCTAGATTCAAACCACTCCTCTGGGTGTGTCTCTGCGGGCTTTCCAGAGACAAGGCCATAAGGTTGCTCTGCTTCCTTCCAGATCAACAGTTCTGACTTCTCTGACAGCTGTCTCACTATAGGCCCAGAAACACAGCCAAGTGACCACCGTCTGCTCTCTGAAATCTTTCACCTTTTAATTGTTCTCTCAGGTACTGTGTACATAAACCTAACACTGGATCTGACAGAGCCACAGTCAGCTTCCTAAATCTTTACCGCTGAGACTGTCCCAACCTCTAATCCGGTAAAGTTGCACCACTGAACTCAGCTCCTCAAGATTCTTGACCACGGCCATGTCTCTGGCTGGCAGCAGACTGATGGGGAATCAGCCTTCTCACCTTTCTGTTCCTAATGATGTGCCTGTCCCTAGCTGCTCTTTTCAGAAAGGTCTTTACTGATGTTATCTATAAAGATAGACTCAGGTAAAATGGAAAACAGCAAACACAAAAGTGATACACAGTAACAAAAATCCAGTCCTCTATTAAAACAAGTCAAGAAAGCCACAATTCAGTCAGTGCAGAGGCACATACCTGTAATCCCAGCACTTGGGAGGCAGAGGCAGGTGGATCTCTGTGAGTTCAAAGACAGCCTGGTCTACAAAGCGGGTCTAGGATAGCCAAGGCTACACAGAGAAACCCTGTCTTGGAAAAAGAGAGACAGAGAGAGAAAAGAAAATCACAACTTACAGGAAGATCCTGTTTCTAACCAAATAACCCAGGCCACATGTCTGAGTCAAACACCTCTGGGAAAGTGATCCAGGTTTTCCCTAAGAGTCACATCTTGTCCTAGTATTGCACATTTGTCACCATTAATGTAACTCCTGCAGACAGAGTAGACAGCCAACTGTGGTCCTGAAACTCCACCCCCACTCGCCTGCCCTCAGTCGTTTTGCCTCAGCTTCCACAGTGCTGGGATTACAGGCTTGCACCAGAAGGCACAGCTACTAAACCAATCCTGACTACAGACACGCTATCGTACCTGGCAATACGTTACAAATAATGTCCATTCTTACTTATTAATATTTCCTTAGTTTTCCCTTACTGCCAAACTAGAATTACACCCAAAATACCACATTAGATTTGTCACGTCTCCTTAAGCTCCTCTTGGCTTTGAGTTTCTCAGCCTCTGGTGTCTGTGGCAGTTCTGTGGATTCATTTCTCCAACTCCCTGTCAGAACTAGAGACTTCCCCCCTTCTGCCTCTGGTTTGACAGACTCCTGTTTTTTTGTGCTATGGCCTACAACTTTTTGTCTGTAATAGCAGTGTGGCATTCTGTTACTTTTACCCTAGGAGAGCAGGTCACTGGGATTCTATCAGAAGAACTGTAAGGGCAAAATTTTTTCAACATTACGAAGATATGCTTTGTCTTTTTTTAATTAATTCTCATTCTCTCAAGTATAGTAGAGTTTTCCGGAGTCTTCATCAGATCTGATGACATCATTATTCTGCAGGATGCCTGGATGAATGCTGGCACACTCGCACTTTTCAAAAGACTCCAAGGCAGCAAGTTTGGGGTATAAACGTGTGTCTTTACTAGAGTTAGTTGGAGGCTAACTCCACTGTTTCCCTCTGTTCTGTTCTGCTGTCCACCTTCAATTCCATCTATTCCAGCTATGTATCTATGGGATGGACTCCCCCACATACTTCAGTCAAAAAACACACAACAAACTTAAGTAGTGAAACATGCCCTGAGGGTACAATGTTTTCACTGAACTTATCCCACAGCCTCTTTTAAGAGGGAAAGTGAAAGAACCTGGCCTGTGTTTTTATGGTCTCTGCCTAATTTTGTCCTCTTATGTCTGTTAATCTTGACCTCGTCAACAAAGTCGGAGTCTCACACACAACGGGCAAAATGGCATGGAGATACACCCACAATTACCAGTAGGGTAGCTGAGTCTCCCTACAGGTTTTAAATTGATAAAACCAGCTTTTAAAAAACTTAACAGTTGAGCCAGGCAGTGGTGGTGCCTGTTTTTAGTCCCAGAACTCGAGAGGCAGAGGGATCCCGAGTTCAAGGTCAGCCTGGTCTACAGAGCAAGTTCCAGGACAGCTAGGGCTACACAGAGAAACCCTGTCTTGAAAAACCAAAGACCACCCCAACTCCCCAAACTTAACAGCTAATTATCTCCTTTTCTGTAAAAAGCATAATCCAGTAAGAGTTAATAATTGAATTATAAACGAAGCAAATGTTCTGTGTTAGCTTGCAAAAGCTATTATGAGGTTTAAAAGGGTAGATCCCCTTCTGAACCTTCAACCTGAGGAATACAAACCCCAAAGGACCAAATGTCAGCGGTCCTTTCATCCTAAGCAATACAACACGAAAAAGAACAGGCTTTCAAAATCAGACGTGAACAGCAAAGAATCTTAGTCTGCCATTCGGGCGATACAGAGAAGGCAAGCCTAGGGCAGAGCATGAAAAGCCACAAGCATTTTACAGCATTACTGCCCACTTTGGTATTATTAGCTGGAGCGGGGAAGGAGCGCCTATGTTTATCTTTACCATTTCAAAAACAAGTTCCCGAACTGGGATAACCGCCTTCGTTTGAAGGTAACAGCTCTCTAAAGCCATTTTCTGTCTAAACTTTCTCGGGGTTGCGCTGACCCACTTGGCTGGTAAAAACAACACAAGAAAGAGCCTGCTGTTTCCCCTCTCGTCTCAGCGTCCGTGTGGGGCGTTCCGCTCACGTCCAGGCCACAAACGGAGAAGGCAGGGCACAGACCCAGTCAGACCCGGCCACCCGGGGCCGCCTGAGCGAAGCCGCCGGGGCCCGGAGCCCGGGCTCGCCCGAGTCCCGTCTCCTGGCTCCGGAGACCGGCGTCCCGCGTGAGCGCGGCAGCTGTGCCAGCCGCGACCCCCGCTCACCTTCCTGGGTCCCCAGGCTGCCGCGGGCCCGGACTCAGGCGAGGACACTCCGACCAGATCCATTCCGAGAAGAAGGCAGAGACGAGAACGGAGCCGAGAGGTGACAGGCCGAGGAGCGGGCTCCGCCGAAGACACGGGCGGGGCACAGGCAACGAGGTGACAGATGGCGGCGGCGGCCGCGGCCGGAACTGAACCGCTTCTCTTCCGCCCTTTACGCTGCAGCTCTCGCTTCTGATTGGCCGCTCGTCCCCCGGGAGGGCCGTACCTCCGGTCCTGTGCCTTGGGTTCAAAGGTAGGCTGGCCGGGGTTTGGGTGGCCCCGTCCTGGCGCGGCGGGGCTGGTGTGGCTCCTTCTGAGCTGGTGGGCGCCGCCTCCCGGTTGCTTCCTCTCGGTCACCGAATCTAATCCACGCAGCGTGGCCTCTGCACGTTCAGGCTAAGCGGTCTCTGACCATTCTTTATTTCCCGGGGTGATTCGGAACTGGAACGGATTCGGGGGCCAGAACTGTCTCGTTTAAAGAGGGAAAAGGAATTGATAGAGATTGCGGTTGTCGAAGTTGTCATTTGGGGGCAGATGTGGAATGAGAAAAACTACTAAATGTGTGGATAACACTGAGAACAATAAAATTTGTGATTATTTTGTCGAGCAACTCATGAAGTGGCTCATAAGCCTAAACATTGTATAGCGCCATATCCAAGCACTAGTCAGTGTTATAATCCCAAAATGATCTTGAGGAGATGAGTCTATACCTCCTTCAATTTTACTGAAAACAAAACAGGCACACAGAAATAAAGTAAGTCAGTTTGGAAATTATATGGCCCTCTAGCTGGCCACCCAGCGTTTTAACAAGAGCTTTTTTTGGGGGGGGGGCGGGGGGGGTTGAGATTCAAATCACAAGAGGTAAGATTAAAAAAAAGGAGAGAGCCCAAAGCTAGTTACAGCAAAAAGAAATAGCAAGAACTAAGACGCCATTAAAAGCAGAGTGTAATGCTTCTAGTTTGCTTACTGGATGGATTTTTCTGACAGTTGTGGCTTGCAGTGGCTAAGGCTAACCTGACAGCCGGTTAGGGAGGGTTGCCAAGACATGCCTTGACACATCTGTTGAATGTGTTGAGTCATCTGTCTCATTTCAAGTCTAAGGTGCTGTCACGGTTTCTGTCAGGTGACTTTGTGTATTCCAACTCGGATCTTTTATTTCCAAGATTTTGGGTTTGGGTTGGGGTACAGATGTTGGTAGTGTGCAGCATATTCTCAAATAAAAGGAAACCACAGTGCCGTGGAAGTAAGACAAGACCATGGTAAAGTGTCAGGATATTGAATAAGGGATCCAGATGGATCTTGAAAGCAAGATGGCAGTGCTTGGAGTGCAGGGGGAGAATGTGCAGTTGTCAGTTGCCACAGTCTTGCGAAGACATTCAGGTAGTAACCTTGAGGCTGGTAGGTGGTAAGATCAGGGAGCTTAGAGATCTCAGGGACTGGCAATAAGGATGGCCTCAGAGCACTGTCCAAGGCTCTGCTCCAGACAGTGAAAAGTGAATCATCTTAGAGGACATTCAGAATTACTTGAAGCATAGATATGGACAAGGAGATTTGATTGGTCATAGATGGAGTTCCCATTTAGCACAGGTTTGTAGGCTAACGTAATGCCCGTGTATCAGTAGTTAAGGTGTTTGCCTGATGTTGCCAACTACATACTCCTAAAATGTCAGGCAGACACTTAAAATATGCACACATTTTGGACAAATGAGCCTGCACATACCTTTAGTCCCATCACTCCATAGGTGGAGGCAGAGGTATCTCTGAGTTGGAGTCCAGTCTGATCTACATATCAAGTTTCAGGGCAGTGAAGGCTACATTGTGAGACCCTGTATTAAATAAATAAATTTATATATTTATTATATGTATATATACTATATATATTTATTTATATATTTGTATATATATATAAATAAATAAATACAGATACATATAGTTACAAATGTTGTCATTTATGTTTAGAAATTTGAATAGAATGGGTGTGTGATACTTACTGCACCACCTGGTCCTGAAAACATGATGGGTACCCGGGGAATAAAGAGAAGACAGGTGTACATAGTGTCCAGAAAATCTGGGATCAAGTAGGTTGTGCTAGCTCCATGCAAGAGCTCAAAATCTCCACACATTCATTGTGTACAGCATAGTCTAGTGCTGGAACAGTCTCCAATTGCAGTCATCTGGGAGGAAGAAGTGTCAATGCCTAGTTTTTGCCCATACTCATCAATTGTTTGAAAATACTCTTACTTGGACCAGAGGAAGGGTTTACTGTAAAAGTAAATTATATTCTCCAGATGTAATTGTTGTGTCAGAGGCTGACTGCCTTTGTTTGCTAACCTAGGCTTAGTTCTGAAGCTTTTAGACACTGTGCAATCTTACCTAGTCCTAGAATGTTTTCAGCCTCTGAGACTTATTGCTGACTAAGCTGACTCATTCTAGTTCTTTCTGAACTCTGGCTGGCTGGTTCAACTCAGCTGTTCTGGCTCAAAACTCTTCTAGCTGACTGATTCAATCTGAATTGAATTGCTCTGCTTAGCTTCAAACTAACTCTAGTAATCTGTCCTAATCTTCTGGCTCCTTCTCATTCTCTGGCCTGTCTGTCTTCACCTGTGTCTAGCTTGTTCTCTCTTCAACCTGTCTCTGTAAAACATGAAAAACTCTCCCAGTAAAACGACCTTCCCCCCCTTTCCCTCTCTCTCTTTGTGCTGCTCCCCTAAGTCCTTCTTTTTCCTGTTTCTTCAGGTGAGAGGTGAACATAGCCTATCCTGACTCATTCTGTCATATCTTTCTGTGATTTGTCACTACGTCTGCCCTCAATTAAACATCACTTTCAAACATGGGTGCTTCCTTCTACAAACTAACTTTAACTTCATTGCTTGGGATTAAAGGTGTGCAGTAAGGGTTTGTCTGTATTCCAGCCAGAGTAGCCAAATTGCTGGATTAAAATCCCTCTCCACTTCACCACTACATATGTTCCAAGCCTGACCCACACAGGGAAGGTGTTGCTATGCCCATGGGTCTGAGGCATTCAGCCCTTGACTTGGATGTGCCCATGTCAACGATACACATTCACTTTGGACTTCATTCATTCAAGGTTTCCTCGGCTCCCCACAGGGATGGTGTAACAGTGATAGCAATTAGACCTTCACGATTTAACACTGAGTCTTTGAATGGAGTCGTGCCCATCTTTCTATGTTGTGAAGAGAGCGTGAAGTTTAAAGGGTTTCACTGCAGCATTTACTCCCTCTCTGCTGATGAACCCAACAGTGCTCAGTTTAAACAAAACTGTTGACAGATTTGCAGTGTCCTTGGGATGAGAACATCCTTTGGTCTCCAAAGAAAGCATAAGTAAGGCTCCTTTGTTTTTAATATTGAAATGAATTTAAATGTTTGCAAATAGCTTCTGAAAGACAGTTGTTGTTAGGTGCCTTTCCAATCGATTTGTATGTATGTATATATGTACAAATACCTGAATGAACACACAATCCTGTGGCTTCTTAAGTTATGTTGCTCAAAGCCTGTAATCTCCCACAGGGTTTAAAAATTAGGCGAAGTTTACATTTTTAAGTAGTGTTTAAAAATTAAGTTTACTTATTTCTCTCATCCTAAAGAGTTCCATTTTGCAACTGAAGTTATGAGGCGGTTTTGTGAGGTACCCTGTGCAGGTGTGAGGATGAGAGATTCAAGAAGTTCTGGTTTCAAGCAAGTGTAGCTCATTTACTGTGTTGAACATCCTTGTTTGGGATGGCTAGAGGCAAACACACATTACCTCTGGGGCTTCTGTGGCCTTGTCAGTTGTGTTGAGTCTCCTGTCAGTCATCCAGGCGCCTTCCGCAGCTGGAATCACAGTGGGCCACCATGCCCACTTGGCATTTCCGGGGTTTCTGGAGATCTGAACTCCAGTCCTCATGTTTGCACAGCAGGTTCTGTAACTGCTGACCAATCTCTCCAGCCCTGCAGTATTTCCTTTAATGAATATTTCCCGTGTCTGTTCTGGTGTGCTGAAAACTTTAACCCTCAGGCCTCCAGCTTGGCACCACTGTTGTCAGCACTCTGGCATCCAGGGAACAAGAATGAGGGTGAAGGTAGATTGGACCTGTCCTTCCCCTCCACAACAACCCTGACGATGCACCTCCCCTACCCCAGACAGGGTTTCTCTGTGTAGCTCTGGCTGACCTGGAACTCACTCTGTAGTCCAGGCTGGCCTCAAACTCAGAGATCCACCTGCCTCTGCATCCTGAGTACACCAGATGGACTCTGGTTCCTTGGTTGTTGATTTAACACACACACACACAAACAAACACACACACACACACACACACACACACTGGCAGGTGCCTCTACCTGCTGAGCCATCTCAAGGACCTTTGATTGTTTGCAGATATATGCATTGTATATATATCAATATTTTATCTATATATATATTCTCCTTCCATCTAGACTCAAAATTACACACGGCCCTTTTAAAAAATGCAGATAATTCTAAAAGTGGGGGGAAAAAAACCCAGTGTGTGTGCGCCACAAAGTGAGACATGGGCCTCATATCCAAACTTGCTGAGGATGATCTGGAACTCCTGATCCTCCTGCCTCTACCTCCTGAGTTCTGGGATTACAGGTTTGTTTTGCCACTACCAGGTTTTCTATCCACAATGGAGCCTGAACTCTCAGCCTCATCTGTGCTAGGCAAGCGCCTTACTGAGTCATGATTCTTGCCCCTTTTTGCTATGTTTAGTTTCAGATTTCTCATCTATATTCATAAAACATTGATATTTAACTGTTCATTGAGGGTACTTAGGTTGCTTCAAAAGTATGCTTCTGTTTCTACTATCAGGAATTCTCCATTTATGCTGTCATAAAAACTAATTACTGGAAGCATTTGGGAGGCTGATGCAATATTTCAATGTGTGGAAACACTTGCTGCCAGAGTTAATGGCCCGTGTTTATTCCTGGGATCTACAACATAAAAGAGAATAGACTCACCAACTGTCCTATGACCTCTACACACACCTCATACATACACACAAGCAGATGTGCACATGCCCAAATAAATGTCTCATTTAAAAACATTTGGGGATGGAAATTCTGCAATGCATTGTTTTATCCAAGCACCTCCTACTTTACCATCTAACAGATTTCTTTTAGCATTACTGATAATTATCAGAAATAAATTACCAACATCAACTCACCTCAACGGTCTACGAAGTGGTTAGTTTTTTCTCATGTGCAGAAGGTCTCATCCACAACAGCTTATTGTTTGGAGGTCAGACCAGCAGGCTTCGCTTTTCTTTAGTCTTCGGTCCGTTTGCTCTGTGAGCAGAACAGTGCTTTAGAAGGGTCAACAACTCTGGCAAAATCAACCAGCACATTTACTACTAATGTCTACCTTGATTTGTGGGAGTCTTTATTCTAGTAGTTTCTACTTGTTAAGCAAATTCTGTAAAAGACAACAGTAGAAATAACTAGGAAGAAAAGAGAGATCAACTGAATCTGTTGACTTACTGAAAGAGTCCAGGACAGGGGACTCTCAATACACACCAACCATTAACTGCAAGCAAGTCCTGTTAAGACAGAAATTGTCTCTGTAAGAATTATCCAGCTCTGAGATACAGCTCCTACAATAACTTTCAGGAAAATTATGTTATGTTTGTTTATCTTGACTACAGAGATTATATATGTAAGCTTTGCTTAGATGATAAACTTTGGCAATCAATTTCACTTAGGGATTACAAATCACTAAATCTTTGTGTGTGTGTTGGGGAGAGTGAAAATCGGGGGACTTCGGGTGCTATTCCTCCCTGTATGTGTGTGTGTGTGTGTGTGTAGGTCAGAGGACCTGTTATCTATGCATTTTCCAAATAATTTCATAAGTTGTAACAGACTTATACAGGTCAGTTCACCAGATACCCTGGTTATTTTATGGTGGACATTTGTCCTGAGTCATGGTCTGATTTTGAAGAAGCATAGTATTGTTGTTTGTTAAATGAAGAAAGAGACAGGCTACATTTTAAAGCTAAGTAAGGACATATGCAGCTCTGGTCACTGCTGGCCCCAACAATCTCACCGGGGACCTGAGTCTATATTGTAGGGCAGAGAGAAAGAAGAAACCAGGATCTTGGATGGTATAATGGCTTATCACTGGTGTGTGTGTGTGTGTGTGTGTGTGTGTGTGTGTGTGTGCGCGTGTGTGCGCGCGCGCGCACGCGCACAACTTGTGGGAATTTGTTCTCTCCTTCCACTTTTACACGAGTTTCAGGGATTGAGCTCAGGTTTCCAGGATTATGAGGCAAATGCCTTTGCCTGCTGAGCCTCTTTTGCTGGCCAATGTGATAGTTAATGTTAACTGTCAGCTGATGAGGTTGAGAAGCAAAGCATACCTCTGAGTATCTGTGAGTGTGTTTCCAGAGAAGATTAGGTGAAGGAGGGAGAGCAGGCAGCATTACTCACTAGGCTGGGGCTGGAAGGTATGGGAGAGAATGAGGGAAGGCTCCCTGCCATGGCCATTGTTTCCCTTCTGCTTCCAGATGTACTCTGCTCTGTCAAGCCCTCTCAGCCAGGAAGGACTGAGCCACATCAGTCTTTCTTAAGCTGCTTTTCCCAGTGGTTTGTTACAGAGATGGATGAGCTAACTAAACCTGGAGACTGTATAGCTTATCATCCATACCAGTAAGCCTACAGAAATGCAAAACCAAATGGGAGGTGTTGAAATGAAGCGTGACTCTGTGGTCACTCTCGTCCTCAGTGGTATCCAGGCCCCAGGGGCACCACTGATGGAGCTCTGGACCAGACTGTACTGGAAGCTTGATTGATTCTAGGCTTTCCTTTTATTGTTTCCAGTGCTAGGGAATTTCTCAGGTGTGTGAACCTCTGGGTCTCTGCAAGCACTAGGGTTGGCAGCATAACAACCCTTGCAAAGCCAGAAGGAAGTCCAGCTCGATACGACCCAGTAGCTGGTGCTGGTTCTAACTTGTAGAGTCTGACCCTGTGCAGTTTATTTTAGGCGCATTTAAGTACATTACAATTTGGAAAAAAGCTTCCTGACGTAGCACGATCTGGTGTGTGTAATAAAGCATAAGGCATAACTACATTGAAATTCTTTTCCAAGTACATGTCACCTCTTCCGTAAAGATGAGTTCTATAAATAGACTATAGGTGTCATCTTAAGGGCCAGAGGGTTGGAACTGGTGTGGTCTCCGTCACACGGAGAGCACAAAGGTCACAAGGCTATTAACTACCTCCAGCCTAGATAGTAAAAGCCCGGGGGAGCCAGGTGTGGCCTGACCACATAGAGAATGCAGAGTTCACCAGGCTATTAACCACATCCGTTCCCAGCCTCCTGGGCAGAAGACGGGGTTTACAGCTCTTCCTTCTTAGAGACACCTCTGTGGGTTTTAACATTCCTGCTTTCCTATGTAACATGGTCCCAGACCTTAACACAACTGACTCCATGATGGAAGAACCATTCAGGCTGTAAAACTCAGCACATAGACAGCATCACCTGCCAAAACTAAAACAAAGGCCTAATCCATCAAAGCCCGTAGTTCTGGGAAAGTCTCTAAAGGTAGTAACCTTGCTTTTTGGCTTCTGTAGTTCTGCTTCTGTTCCTGTTAACTGAAGTATGCCAACCCGGGACATGGTTTTGTGTTTAAAAGCTCACCCTGTGCTGTTTGTGGGGACACACATGCCACAGCACCCACATGGAGGTCAAAGGTCAACCCATGGGCCTCTGTTTATGTCATTTGAGTTCTGGATATGGAACTCTGAAAGGCTTAGACTAACTTTGTAACCTGTATGTCTTCTAAAGCCTATAGTTTTGAGTTTTAGGTTCAGGTTAAGCTAAAGCCTCTTAGTACCTTTCCAGAGAATGGAAAAATGTGACCCTATCTGTGAGGACAGATAGAAAAAAAAAAGGCAAGCAAGCAATGACCTTCACTCAGCAAAAAGAAGGACCAGACCCTTGTCTTTGAGATAGTGTTTCTTAGCAATGAACCCAGATTTCTTCTGAGTAGCTTTTGACCACCAGCCAAGAGCCCGCAGCCCTAAGCTTCAAGGATGAGCTAACCACTCCCACCTTTAATTGCAGCTGCATCCACACTTGGCAGGACTGGCCAAACTTGAGCACCTAAGACTAACCAATTATCTTACTTTATAGCTTCCTCATCCAATCCTAAATTGCCAAAACTGCAACTTCAAATCTCCCGCAATTTTTCTTTTAAAAACCTAAAGGCCTTTGTCTCCCGGTGCCACTCTTTGCTGACCGGCAGGGGTGACCCCATTGCGCAATGGTTAATAAACCTCTTGCTTTTGCAACGAGTCTTGGTCTGGGGGAGTCTCTGGGAAGGGTGCGATTTTGAACTCCTGAGCTGTGAGACCCCAGGTCGTGCAACTCAAGTTGTCAGTCTTGGCAGCAGGTGCCTGCTTTTACCTGCTGAACCATTTCTCTGGCCTACCTGCACCTTTCGTTACCCATACAATTCACCAACATGTCCCTAGTTCAGTTTCATACCATTTGCCAGAATCTGGGCTAATGTCCTGACCTGGGAACAGGGACTGTGTTTAAAATTCTACTTTGGAAAAGACTTTTAAGTCTGTTGTCCAAAGTCTCACATAGCCCAAGCTGGCTCCAGATGCCCTTTGTAGCCCGGATGAAGTTTGAACTTACTTCTGAACCACTTTTCTCTTCATCCCAGCTGCTGGGATCACAGGCCTCTGGCACTATGTTCAGATAGTGTTCTTCTTTCATAGACATTTCTGCACGATAGAATGCCTTTTCTCGTCCCTTCTTCAGCTTTCCTTTTAGCATATTTTTTAGATTTATTTTATTTTCGATTACTTGCATATCGTAGTTCAGTGTGTAGTTTTATGCACGTGTGAGTGCTGGTGCCCAAAGAGGTTCAGAAGAGAGCTGGGGGTTCTCCTGAGGTGGACTCTGAGAGTCTTCCGCAAGAGCTGTATACATTCTTAACCATTGAACTGTCTCTCTAGCCTCTTTCAAAATAACTTGTGTTGGGGCTAATTTGTTTGTGGTTTTGCCAAAGTTAAAAAGAAGCAACACATGCCGGGCACGGTGGCAAACCACTGTAATCCCAGCACTCAGGGAGGCAGAGTCAGGTGGATCTCTGAGTTCGAGGCCAGCCTGGTCTACAAAACGAGTCCAGGACAGCCAAGGCTACACGGAGAAACTGTGTCTCCGAAAAATAAAGGAAGAAAGCAACGCAGAAAATCTGAAAATTAAAAAAAAAAAAAAAAAAAATCGGCAGAAATTCGGTAAAGCCTATAGCATTTTCCGTCCAGTCATTCAGCAATAGCTATGGCTATTTTCCTTCAAATCATAAAGAAAGGCTGTGACATCTTCCCTAACGTGCTTACTTGCTCGTCCATCCTTTCCTACCACTGGCAGCCAGAGAGGACCCACCAGGTCTGCCCCCCAACTCCTCCAGGACTCCTCGCCGGCGGCAGAGCTGGTGCGCCCTGGCCGGCATGGTCCCTTTAAGGGGGCGGCGCCCGGGAGAGCCGCTCGCTGATTGGCGGAGCGGAGCCTCGTGGCAGAGGCGGAGACCGGGGCGGCAGCGTGGGCTCCGGTGCGCGGGCGCCGCCTCTCCCCGGCAGCCCGGGGAGCAGGCAAATGAACGCGAGGCGCGCCCTACTCGGCCTCACCTTTTGCACCTGCTACCTGGCCTCTCACCTCACGAACAAGGTGAGCAGGCGGGCGGCTGCGCGGGAGCCGGGGGCGCGCGGTCCACGTCGCAGAAGCTGCCCCCGGCTGGCTGGGCTGGAAGGGGAGGGCGCGGAAGGCGGCGGCGAGAGGGAGCATTTCCTGGGAACTTGGTTTTGGCCCCAAGGGCTGTCTTCAGGAGGAGCCTGGGGATGGAGCCCAGGGCTCCCCGGGCTCCATCCCTGCCTCTCATCACTTGGGCGGGGGTGAAGGTAGGAGGATCCGGGGTTCAAGATCATCCTCCACTACATCATGAGTTTGAGGCCAGTTTGGGATACTTGAAACCCTGCCTCAAGTAAATAATTTCAAACACACGCAAATGAACGGAAAGCAAGCCCCCTTGCTTTTTCCCCAGGGAAGGAAGAGTTGAAGAAATCAAACACATTCTGCCCCACCTCCGACAGACAGCCTTCTGTCCCAGGACGCAAAGATCCAGAAGCGGCGGGAAAGATGAATTCTTACCCTACTGATTGATTCAGTTAGTCTTTATCTCCGTTTCAAGCATTTTTGATATACCCGAGGGCTTTTTTTATGGTTTAAAATCTGGACGAGGCAGAAACTGCCCGATTTTGATAGGAGTAGGAAGTTGCTTTGAGTTCAGTGGGTCCTCCTGCCTCTTCCTCCCGAGTTCGGTGGGATTTGTAGGTGTGAAGCACCATGCCCGGCTGTTATTATTATTGTTACCTTTTCAAGATTTGTTTATTTTTATGTTATGTGTGTGGTTGTTTTGCTTGGAGACCGGCAGGCATTAGTTTATCTGGAGTTACAGATGGTTGTGAGCCACCAGGTGTTCAGGTCCTCTGGAAGAGCAGCCAGTGTTCTTAACTGCTGAGCCTTCTGTCTGTCCCTAGCGTATGTGTGAGGCTGTACCTACTATGGGCACATGTGGCGGTCAGAGGACATCTTTCAGGGGTCAGTTCTGACCTCAGATTATCAGGGCCATGTCACCAGCCCTGTGCCTTCCTCCCCCCAAGATAGGGCCTTGCCACAAAATCCAGACTGGCCTGGACTCTTTCTCCTTCGTTCTGAGCGCTGGGGTTACAGTCAGGTGCCACTACACTTAGCTCAGTGATGTTATTAGAACTAACATTGAGTTTGTCAAAGATTTTATTCTTAATTACACATATGTGTGGGTCTGTGTGTGGGTATGTGCATGTGAATACAGGTGCCTGAGGAGGCTGGACACACTGGATCTCCTAGAGATGGAGTTAGAGGTGGTTGTGAGCCAAGCAGTGAGGCTGCTGGGAGACTCGGTGAGGTCTTTTTTCAATATATGCAAGCACGCTTCAACCTCTGAGAGGTGGCCATTTCTCTTCCCATAGTTCTTCAGCCAAAGTGAGTGAGAGCGTCAGCATTTTGTTTTATTCTGTGGTACTAGGGGATTGAACCCAGGGTGTCGCTCATGCTCAGCCGCTGACCTGCACCCCCGTTCCTACCGGAGTTTCAACATCGTAGATTTCCCTCAGCCCGTAGACCAAAGCTAAGCACACAATAAATTGAGTAAATATTTGGCATCATAATGAAGGTTGTTATGGGTGTTCCAGGACATGCCCAGGTCTCACTTCATCTTGTCTCCTGTTCAGAATGAAAGCATGAGGGAAAGGTAGAGTGGGGCATGCTAACTGACACAGGTGAAAATACTTGAGGGAAAATCGTAACGTGGAGTACAGCACAGGACATCACCCATAATCCTAACATGTAGGAGCTTATGGAGAATTTTGGGTAAGTGGAGAAAGGTACTTCCTTGAACTTCCTCAATACCTTTGAGTCTGTTTATTTACTCCCTCCTTTTCTTCCTTGCTTTTCCTCCCCCTACAACCTTTTTTCTTTCTTTTGAGAAAGATCTCAGCGTGTAGCCCAGCTGGCCTAGAGCTAGCTTTCTAGAGCAGGCTGGCCTTGGATTCACCAAGATCCACCTGCGTCAGCCATCTGAGCAGGACTGAAGGCATGTGCCACCGCACCTTTCCTGACTGTCTGTGTGTGTGTGTGTAAAATTAACAGTTCTTTCCTAAAGAAGTATTTAATGGCTTTAGGCAAAAATGAATGAATGAATGAATAAACTGAAAGGGTTCATAATAGAAAAAGATGTCTGCAAAGACAAAATGCCCTTCCTTCACTATAAAGCTCTACCAATTGGATTAGAAGACTTAGGAAGGTTGGGGAGTGCTTACCTCTCAGGTGTGAGGACCTAAGTTCAGATCCCCAGAACCCACCTACAAGCCTGATGTAACAATGTGTGTCTACACTTCCAGAGCAAGACAGGAAGCAGAGAGAGGGAGATCTTGGGAGCTCACGGGTCAGTTAGCCTGGTGTATGCAGCGGTGAATGACAAGACGCTGTCACTTAGACAAGGTGGAGGCACACACATTAACACCCAGGGCTGTCCTCTCACCTCCACACATGTGCTAGGCCTGTACCCACACTCACACATATGAACATGTACACATACATACACCAACAAATTATACACAACAAAGAATTAAACGAATTAATATAAATATTATATGTACATATATTTATATGTATGGTGGC